TTTTTTTTTTATAGACTTATATGTTAATAAGCAGCAAGACATACTGAAAAAGAGTCCTGGGGTTCAGAAGTCTTGAGCTATAGTTTCTGCCTCTGCCACTAACCAGTTGATTCACATTGGGCAAGTCAGTTCACTGTTATGCATTCTTATTTAATTATTTTTTAAATGAATAAGCTAGTCTGCGTAATATCTAATGTTCCTTACAGCTCTCACATTCCATGACTACAAGTAGCAAATATTTACTAGTATGTGCTCCCAGAAGAGTTGCACAGAATTTTATAGAGTCCTTTACACAAAGCCTCGCACATATTACTCACTCAAAAATATTAAGTAAATTAATTCTGCAGGCAAAATTAAATCATCATTTATTATTATCTCTGCCATTAAATTCACCTGCAAATAGTCATGGATTAGGTTGGCATAGTATCTACTTCTCTAACAAATAGAGTTGTGTTTTCTAGGTCACTCTGGGACGAGAATGGTACATACACGCCATCTACACGGTAAGATCAAAAGACAATGCCAATCGAGGTATTGGGAAAAGAAGTGTGGAGTACCAGTACCACTCTCTGGTGGGTCAAGGGAAGACGCAGGCAACTACCAAGAGCCGGAAGAAGAGGGAGACCAGGAGCACATCCCCACTGGCGTGGGAAATCGGTGCTGAAAACAACCGAGGAACAAACATCCAGCACATTGCCCTGGACCGCACGCACAAGAGGCAGATCCCGCAAGGGAGAGTTCCTCCCGACGGCATCCTCCCTCGCGAGCTCAACAGTCCCAGCTCTGGGTTCAGCCTGATCATGGTCATGGGAGGCATCGCAGTGGGATTATTCACCATCTGCCTCGTGGTCATTGCCGTGATGATGTGCAAGAGCAGGGAGAGCTTCAGAAGAAAGGATGCCCCGAAGGGCTCCAGCAGCAGCGAGCCCATGATGCCGCCACAGAGCCAGCACGGCGACAGCTCAGAGGTTTGATGACCACAGGTCGAATTCAACCTTTGCCCCAAGTGCCTCAGAAAAGACTACACAGGAACCCCAAATGCTGCTGGTAAACAGCAGAGAACTGGGGACTTCTGTGATGAAGCTGCTCAAAGGACCTGACTATACTAATGTACTTTGATTTGAATACTGTCTACTTTTTCATGCATCAAAGGACAAATTCACACCACATCCTCCCGTTTGCCCAGAAGGTAGCAACAATGTAGTCACATGTACACAAAACCATAGATGGACCTCAAGGAATGTACTTCTCGTGTTAGGCATATTCTCTACACCATGGAGATGAACCTGTTCAAAGGTGCTATGAGACTCTCTAAGAAGTTTAAGAGGAGTCTATTATTGCTATGTTAGTGTGAACTTTGAAGGTGCAATTATCACATTGTTTATTCATTGTATAAACAGATTATTACCAGAAAGGTTTTAATTGGTATTCTGGAAGAATGGTGAACACACTGTTTATTATGACAAGTTTCTAATAGGTGAAGATGGCATAGAATTGTGACCAGGGGTAGCTCAACCCACAAATCACCTTTTCTACTATTTGGGAATGAGAGAAAGGAAAGATCGAGGGAAGGGAACTTGCTCACTTGGATTCGAATTGCTTCTCACCCTCATCAGATCCTCCTTGTTTTATTTGCGTATTTAATTTTAAATTAAACCAAAGAATATGTTAATTCTGGAAGAGATGAACTTGCTCACTTGGATTCGAATTGCTTCTCACCCTCATCAGATCCTCCTTGTTTTATTTGTGTATTTAATTTTAAATTAAACCAAAGAATATGTTAATTCTGGAAGAGATTTTTAAGAGAGTCTGCTCTGTTTGGGATATATAGTGAGTAATAGTAGAGCTCTTGCATGGTAATATACTTTATCGGTGCTCAACATTTGTGAGAAATGAGAGGGTTGGTGACCTTTTTATGACAAAGATGCCATAGAGTTAGATTCACTACAAGACAATGTTCTCTAAGAACTGAGCCTAGACATGTGCAGTATTGAACCCATAAATAATAACGAGAAACGTCATTGCAGATGGTGATGGGAGAACGTGGTATTTATTAATATAATATGTATAACCAGAGTGCCTCTTGTACTTTATAAAAGAACATTTTGGCAGATGATAGATGAGGTTAACCCTCAGAGTAGCATAGTCACACAATAACGTTTCGAACTTAAATTAGCCCATAGGAGATTTTATTAGCTTTCTAATCAATATCTGATCCTAACATTGGGAATCTCTGCAACTGTCTTTCCATAAATGGTCTGGAAAGTGGCCAGCATCATTGATCATGTTCTTTTTTGATCCAAGAACAAAGCATCACTCTCTTGCATCCTCAGTTTAGAGAAGTGGTGCAGTGAGCTCCCTCTCAGTATCTAAAGCTATAATTTGTAATACTGCGTATTGGTCACTTAACAAAACCAAGGAAATCGATGTAGCCTTTCTGCAGAAATGTGCTTTTCCAAATGGCAGAAATGTTGTTGGAAAAAGAAAACTTCAGTACTTTAATGACCAGTCTTCCGATAGCTAGTAAATGTATCTTAAATAAAAATAAGGTCAGGAGAAAAAGATTGATGTCTAAAGATCAATGCTTAGGTGCTGCCTGGAATCCCTTTCACTTCCAGCCATTCCTGGCCAAGCTGGTCATCCTAGTGGAATAGAGGTTTCTAGAAGGCAAAGTTTCTTCTCAGGTCATTCACACACATCTTAATTTGGTGTCTGTGAGTACCAACCATCTCCTAATTGATGAAAAAAAAGCTACACTGAAAGAGAGGTAAATGTATCTAATACTTGCCTCTCATTTTTTTAGGCAGCTCTGCACTTCACAGTCAATGTCTTCTAAAGAATACAGTAAACTGTAGTATCTTTCCATTGGGAAATTTACAAATATTACCTACATCTTGAAGGTCCACCCGAAGAACTTATGTAAGTAGAAAGTGCTGTATAGCCCAGGAGTTCCTTCATCAAAATAAATAGTGGCACATTCTTAATTATCCCCCTTTCTTTTGTTTTATCTTCTTGCAGATGCTTAGCTACTTTTTGGCTGCCTCATAATTTATATGGGAAAGAACATGAACTAAGCAGCTTCAGATAAGGTGTGGACTTTTTACTACTTAGCATTGGGTTCAATTTATATAAATAGAGCAGGTATTCTCAATCGACTTTCTGATACTTTAGTAGGTAAGAGGTTCAGAGCTTGACTCAGGCAATCTTGGAGTCTGTCAGTGAACATAATAGTGAAGCATCATTACAAGAAATCTGTTTTGAGCCTTTGGACCTGACTGCTTTTATACCAAATTTCACTCTGCAATGCATTGTTCTAATAAGGTTACTGTTAGAGAGTTTATAAAAGACAAAACATGTCTCTCCTGTCCTAACGAAGACAAATCTCTCCCTCTCTGCCCATTTCCTCTCTCTCTCTCCTTTCTCTCACTTATTACTTCCCATCATTTCCTTGGGAAAAAAAGAGAGTCTGTGGGAAATAGGCAGATATGGTTTTCTTAAGTATAAAGGACTTGCATTTTTTGCACCATTTTCTTGATATCTGTTTACTAAATGTGTAATTCAATATACACGGAATTATTTTAAAAACTCCTTTTAGTGGGAAAAAATAAGGCAAAAATTTTTTTTGTTAAGTAAAACACACCCTTATTTTCAGTATTTTGTTTTTAGAGAACTGTTCTGTATTATCACAACAAATACATAAAATAACTTCCCACAGAGAACAGGATGTAGGCAGTAAGAGCTCCTTAGATATATCAGTAGCTTTTGACCCCAGTAAGGTCTTGTTGATATTACATAGTANTAAAAACTCCTTTTAGTGGGAAAAAATAAGGCAAAAATTTTTTTTGTTAAGTAAAACACACTCTTATTTTCAGTATTTTGTTTTTAGAGAACTGTTCTGTATTATCACAACAAATACATTAAATAACTTCCCACAGAGAACAGGATGTAGGCAGTAAGAGCTCCTTAGATATATCAGTAGCTTTTGACCCCAGTAAGGTCTTGTTGATATTACATAGTACAAAAAACAAAACTAATATTACCATTCATGGCTCCCCTAAGTGTATGAGCTATGAGCAATTAAAACACATAAGTATATTTTAATAATGGGCTTATTTATTCTCATTTGTTCCCTCAGTTAACATTTACTGAATGCTCTCCTGGGGTCAGTCATTCCAAGAGATTACATAGAAACCGAACTACTCTCCCCGTCCTCTGGCAGGTTATAAATGAATGCAGCACTTTCTTTGGACTGAAATGTCAGGATTTGCACTAGGTTCTCTCCTAGACCAAGAACACACCGGGCATATCTGTGAACCACAGTTTAAAAATCTCTCTAGAGCATCAATGCTAGAGTCCACTCTTTTTCATTTAAAAGAACCCCACATGTTATGGATCATTTTGATCTCAAATCTAATACAAAGTATTTCAAACTAGTAATTTAATGGAATTGACCTTCGCACACCCACATAGAGGAAGTACATTGTAGAGCCGTGGGTGGTACAGCATATTCTTTTCCTCTTCGTGGAAGATGGGCCACTTTATTCCAAGAAAAGGATAGCCATAAACTCTTCTTCCAGGTCTTTAGCATCATCAGCACCTTCTGAAATCCACCCTCTCACTTGCATCCACAATGTTTGAACAGTATGAGTAAGGGTCACCTTAAACTCTGCTGCCAGCCCACTGCATGGCATTTGTGATGAGCAGGACCAGTCTAAGCTCAATATGAAGGGATTCAGTTCTGTAAGCAGCAAAAATGCTTCTTTATCCAGTCATCTTACCTCTACTTCTTTTTCCAGTATACCGACTCCAAGGTCAACATTAAAAATGGAAACAAAACTGTGTAAAAATTACAGAGGTTTCCCTCATACGTATCTATGCTAAGAGTTAAAATGTTTCCACACTGAGACATGTTAAAGTACTAATAATAAAGCTAAATGTAATGACATTTAGATTTTAAAACTTGAAAATTTTATTTCTGCCAAAATATCTATTTAATATTAACTTGGAACCAAATTCATTCCTTTAATAGGAAAAAGAAAAAATATTTTTAAAGATACAAGTGTTTTACAAATTTGAAATTTTCATAATTGTATTAATTTGAAAACAAGCATGTTACTATTCTTTAAAACTCTTTCATTTTTCTTTCCAATATAGCAATAATTAAAAGATGAAAACAGTTGTCTTGATTCACTAACCTTATGGAAATGAATGAGACTCAAATGTTCAATCAGTCCAACTTACCAAGACTCAGAAATGTGTAATTTGGCAGGAAACTATAAATACTAGTGTAATCACAGACACACACACACACACACACACATGCGCACACACACACATAAAAACAATCAAGCATCTCATTTCCAGGAAGGGTTGAAATTATTGGCATAGTTCTAACTAAAGTGGCATATGAAGGTTTCCAGAAAGGGTTGAAATTATTGGCATAGTTCTAACTAAAGTGGCATATGAAGGTTTTCAAGATCAATAGAGAAGTCACTTGTGAAAACATACTGTTGTGTTAGTTTCTTTGATATTAGTTTAAAAGTTAATATATTTCCTTAAGATATTTTCCTATAAATGATTCCAGTATTGCATGGTAATGACATTGAAATTTTCATGAAATATCATCTACAGGTTCAAAGTATCCTTTAGTGTCTATTTTTCCCTTTTCCACATCTTTTGATGCTAAGGAACAAGAGGCTGGGAGATTTTGGTGGCTATGTTGATTTTGATAAGGTATTCCAGCAGAAAGATTACATAGAAAACTTTTAAGGAAAGAAAGCTGATTCTCTTTCTTGAACTAAAGTTAATGAACAAAATATACTAATGTGAGTATCTCTTTTGATTTAATTCTATTGGGAGAAATCAGAATTTTAATTTGCAGACTTTTAAACAGTTTTGCTTTCTTCTCCATCTTTCAAGTGCATTTAGTTCCTTTCCCCTGATACTTGTCCACATGTGTGGGTTTTTTTTAACATTTTATTTTGCTGAAAAACAACAACAAAAACCTGGCCCAGCAATGACATCTACTTTTGCTTTCTTTTCTTTCTTCCTTTCTTTGTTTTAATTTAATAGACTAGGCTTTTCTTTCTCTGAGATTTGATTTTCGTTCTTCCAGTAATGCTTCCATTTTGAAACCATTCCCTTTTTCAGTAAGTGGTTTGCATTCTCATTCATCTAAAAGTCCATTGTCCCCTCTGAACAAAATGTTAAGGCTTTGGGGTGAAAGGAAAAAGAACTTCCTGCAAAAGATCAAAAGAATCATATTGAATAATATGAGGACAATCTGTGCTTTGATTTTTCTCTCGGTGGAGGTTCAAAGTTGACATTTAAGATGTAAAAAATCCCTTCAAGGATTTGAGTAAGAATCAAAAGTCAAAAACCCCATATATGAAGTTCTTTTGGATTGTTGAACATTTTACAATGAAATACATAGCCAAAAGAAACTGTTAAAATGTTAACAGCATTGAAGCTTTTTAAATTATAATTATTAGATGCACAATGCTCTTTTACTATTAGTCAGATGTTGTCTAAACTGATTATGTGATTACTTAAACCCTCCAAGTGAATTTCTACTACTGATACTTATTTTTTCCAATGTTTGGATCATCCTTTCACATAG